ATGAGACAGGCAGAGAGAGATCATTGGCTACACACCTTCAGGCTCATTTTAATTATCGCTTCAACCAGAATTTAGCATAAGGAACTGCAGACTGAGCTAAATAGCAAATCTGACACACACGAAAAGGCCGTTCTTCCAACTGCCCGACTTAAATGACCCTGTTGAAGGAGGCCACCAAACCATGGAGGGATGCCTTTTATGATCCCCGAGTGCGAGAAGATCACAGCAGCTCTTATCAGAAGTAGATTTCAGCACAACAAGGTCAACATTTATTTCTGCCAATTCTAAACTAAACAAGTTAATTTGCAGCGTGCAGCAGGTGAACGGAGGAAGCTACTTATTCACATTTATTCACATGTTACAGTTTCTTCCAGAAAATTCTGCTTTTAAAGTAATCAACTATATTTTTATTATATGTTTATATCAGCAGCTTTCACACCATCTTAACTTTTTGTGTTTTAGTATGTTGCAACAATCAGTACTTTTTTATACATATAGAGCTTTCCCCTTAAATTTTGTACATCATATATTGTACACATGCCTCATTCAATTATTTCCTATTATTGTTTCTTCAAGTTATTATATACACACACTACACTTATTATAAAGATAAACTATTTAATTTTAAGCCGATTCCACTCTTAGATTATATCACATGATAATTTTGCCTTATGCTAATTTTTCCCATAAAAACACATATTTTTAATTAGTGATGCTTATTAATTCTTATCAGTGCCATATTTCCCACATTTCCTACATCAGACAGAGTGAAAAACACGTTTCTGTTTCAAACTTGTATTGATTTTAAAAACAATGAGTACGTACTTTACTCTAAAACATTAAAAATAAAACACGTAAATGCTAAATTAACCCAAAAAGCTGTTTTTATATTGGGTTTCAACACGTTCTCATCCCAACACGTAACCTGCCGACGCTATGTGACCAATCGTCTGTGTGAATGTCAGGCTATGGCTAAGGTTAGGGCTACATTAGAAAGCTGCAAAGCTTTTATCAATCCAGAGCGTCTCATAAGGACGTGCAGGGGTACCTCTGGCGTTACTATGTCACGCTTCGGGCCGTGACAGATGGTCGGTGTGTTGCGCGTTGGGAATGAGAATGCTCTGTGTGCAGATGACCAGCCGAGAAGCCAGTCCAGACTCCAGACATCACCTCCATTCATTCAAGAAGCTGCTGCGTGGTAGACTGTGGGTGCAAAGGCAAGACAGTAAACAGGTGTTTCTATCAATAGTTTGTCACACATGGTGGGTGACAGCTCCGCCCCTCACAACCAGCTCCTGTTCGATCAAACGGCGAGCAGGCAGATGGTGCTCCGTGAACCTGTGAGTTTATTAAACCCTTGCACACAACCACATGTGAATACACACATGCTTCAAAACACACAGACGCAGCCACACCTGAGCACAGACGTAGACTTTTGCCCTCCAGCTGGAGAAGAGCAAGGCTCTGGGATACCTGCAGTCTCAGTGGTGTCTAAACACATTCAGCGTGGTCTCCTCTGGCGACTGACAAAGTCTTAATGAGTATTTCCTGAGTCTCAACTCAATTATAAACTCCCCGGCAGTATCTAGCCAAGAAAAGATGTTCACATTCACTCTGGGCGAGAGTTACAGCGAAAGGGAATTTTCCCTCCAGGTGTAAGAAAACTTCCACTGGCAGCATGCTGATTGAGATACTCCTCTCAGTTAGCTTCTTAATTTTTCAGCCTCTTGTTAATCCGTCTGGAAACACTCAATTAAACTTCTGAGCAGCAACGCTGCCATAGTCCATCAAAAAAGTTACTTTTCCCCCGGGTATTTCACTTCACAAAGTCGAGTCGCCGTGTGGTTAATTGCACTAACCGATGGCGTTTTGCTGAGCTATGTTATAACAAACGTAATAAAAAATATTTGTGTTTGGTTGAACATTTCTTCGATGTAATGTCTGTTATATGAAACTTGGGCATTTGTTTCTGGTACTACAGCTCACTCCAAATAAAGCTGCGACTGGCTCTGCAGAGAACCAGCTTGAAGGTGCCCTTTGGCTCAGGCCCTACCTGGATCAGTCAGGATTATATGCTTAGAGCAGACACCAAGTGGCCGCTGCTCACAGGTGCTGCTAATAAGATACCAATCAGCCACCTGATTGTCAGCACCTGTGCTACCAGAAGCTCAGAGTCAGTAGCAGAATAAGCAATTTGGCAAAATTTTCACGGGTGCAACCCACATGCTCGACTCTGCTGCTCAACCCACAAATAGCTCATATTTTCTTCTGCTTGGTATGTTTTTCCTCATTTGTATTTAAGGAGGAATGGCAGCGTGTTACTAGAACCATCATTTCCCTGATCGGACCTCCCCAAGGGATTAACAAAGGTCTATTCTACTCTATTTTATTCTATTCTACAGTCTTGTTACAAGTAATGAACCAAATGCAAATTTCCTCACGTTTTGTGATTGGTTTATATTAATTGTACATTACATATCATTAATTATCTGTCTCTGTCATGCAGTCCTATAGTCTCGATTCTCCTTTTCTAACTAAACTATGCTAATATTAGCC